CCCGCTTTTTTTAAATATATACTTTTTATTGATTTCAGAGAGGAAGGGAAAGGGAGACGGGGGATAGAAACATCAGTGATGAGAGAATCATCAATTGGCTGCCTCCTGCACGTCCCCCACTGAAGATTGAACCTGCAAACCCAGCATCTGCTCTGACCGGAACTGAACCTGGGACTCTTCAGTCCACAGGCTGATGCTCTATCCACTGAGCCAAACAAGCTAGGGCAGCCCTTTTTTCTTTCCCTATAATTATATGTGTGTATGGCATGAGTGTCTTTAACACTAAATTAATTTTTTTTTTTTTTTTTTTTTTTTTTTTTTTTTTTTTTTTTTACTTCATCTGTTTTACTTGCTGTCTTGGGGAAGAAGAGCAGTTTGAAATTTATAACATTTTTATTTCTGAATAAATTTATTTTGCAAGATACTGGAAGGACCATAGAAGGGTCACTTAAATATACCTGGTGAGGTACACTTCTAAATGAGACATAATAGTCTGTCACATACATAAAATTGAATGTAGACAGTGCTGACTTAAATAACAAGAGCTGCTTTGTATTGAATATCTATGATGTGTCGGTATGCTAGGCATTTTAGCTAGATTCTGTAATTCACTCTTCTCAGCACCTGTAAAATAGGCCATTTTCTATTTTACAAAGGGGAGTGCTGAGGTTGATAGGGCTTAGTTTGCCCAAAGTGATCACCTGTCTCAGTTGAACCTAGTTTCTTTCTGCTGCACAGGACCAGGCCAGCAAAGGAGGGCAGTTGGGGGGGAGGGGAGGACCAAGCCTGAAGGGGAGGGCGGTTGTGGGGAATCAGGCCATCAGAAGAAGGCAGTTGAGGGGGAATCAGGCTGGCAGAGGAGGGCAGTTGGGGGTGATGAGGCCTGCAGGGGAGGGCAGTTAGGGACAATTGTGCTGGCAGAGGAGCAGTTAGGTGTCAATCAGGCAGGCTGAGGAGTGGTGAGCGGGTGATCAGGCTGGCAGGCAGGTGAGCAGTTGGGAGCCAGCAGTCCTTGATGGTGAGAAGGATGTTTGACTGCCCATTGGGATTGGGCCTAAATGGGCAGTTGGACATCCCTCAAGGGATCCCAGATTGGAGAGGGTGCAGGCTGGGCTGAGGGACACCCCTCTGCCCTTGTGCATGAATTTTGTGCACTAGTACAAAAATATTTTATTTCAATATTTATAGACAGTACATTTTTCCTCCAACCACCATATTTAGAGAAAAAAATGTTACAAAGGTAGTAAATGATTCATTGTATAAGAATAAAAGGTGTAAGTGCCCTTTTTCAGAAAAGCTACTAGCAGTTTGGTATATGTGCATGCACACTTGTGTGGGAGTGTGTGTTACCATAAACATAAATATGAAGCATTTTATTTTTAAGCTCACATCGTGTTTTTGTTTTCACATTATGCATTTTGTTCAGCATCTTAGTTGGATAAACTTATTCTTTTGATGTTACATTGTATATTGTGCTGTGTCCTAATGGATTTAGCCATTTCTGTGTTGGTATGTATTAGGTTACCCATTTTCTTCTTATTTAAAGAACATTTTATTGGTACATTCTCCTTGTAGATATATATATATATATATATATATATATATATATATATATATATTCCTCACCAAAGGATATGTTCATTGGTGAGAGTGAGAGAGGGAGAGAAGGGAAAGGAAGAGAGAGGGAGAGGGGAGAGGGAAGCATTAATGAGAAAGAAACATTGATTCACTGTCTCCTGCACGTGCCCCAGTCTGGTAATGGAACAGGCAGCCTAGGTGGTGACTGGGAATTGAACTCCCGCCTTTTGGTGCGCGGGATGATGCTCTAGCTAACTGAGCTACCCAGCCGGACGTGACTGTATTTTTAAGAAAGTTTTTTTTTTTTTTTTTTTTTTTTTAAGAATCGATCAAGGGAAGCATGTAAAATTTCCTTTCTTAGCCGTGGTTTCCCATAATACCTTCCTGACCGCAGCAGGCCTCCATTCTAACCCGGCCTTATGGCTGGCTTGCGTGGCTACTCCATCACTTGTGCAGCTCAGACATCTGCCCCCTAACAGGCTTTCATCAGCTGGCTTGGGTCTTCCTGTGAGCCATGACTTAGATAATCCATAACCTGGTGATTCCGCCTCCTTGCCCTGTCTCTGTGGAATGGATGGTGCCTTCCAGCGAAGCTGTGAATTGGAGTTGCTCAGAGTAGTCCCTAGCAGTGTCCAGGGGCCACATCCCTTGGAAAATACGTTCCTACCCACCTCCCAACAAGTCAGTAATGGCACCCAGAGGTTGGGCTGAATGCTTCAGTCAGTCTTAGATTAGTCAATCTCTAGAACCATTTTTTTTTTTAATACACTGTTTTGGAGAACTTGCAGGTTCACAGCAAATTTGAGCCAAAGGTGCAGAGATTTCCCATAGATCTCCCTGCTCCACACATGCACAGCTTCCCCGTCACCGGCAAATCCCACCAGAGTGTTGCGTTTGCTGCAGCTGATGAGCCTATGGACACGTCATGTTCACCGTTCTAGGACCGTATTCCTGTAGATCGCAGTTTGCTCTTCACTTTGCTCAAATGTGACATTCTCTGACCAGCTATATAAAATTGCAATACCTTACCTCTGTGGTCGGCAAACTGCGGCACGAGAGCCACATGCTGCTCTTTGGCCCCTTGAGTGTGGCTCTTCCACAAAATACCATGGCCTGGGTGAGTCTATTTTGAAGAAGTGGCATTAGAAGAAGTTTAAGTTTAAAAAATTTGGCTCTCAAAAGAAATTTCGATCGTTGTACTGTTGATATTTGGCTGTGTTGACCAGTGAGTTTGCTGACCACTGCCTTCCCTCATTTCCTCTCTGGCACTCTCTTCATTTCCCTCTCTATAGCACCTTTTAATATTGAACATCTGCATGCTATGTCTTTTGTTGTTTTGTGTTTAACCTCCGATAGCTTGTAAACTCAGATGCTGGCAAGCGTTCCCTTCCCTGTCATCCTCAGTTCCTGGCTTTGGGTAGATGTGCAGGAATGCTTGCCGGCTCAGTGAGTAAATGGTCAGCCAGGGGACCCAGGGCCACTCCTTCAGGCTGGCAGCCCTCAACATCCCCAATGGTCCTTTCAGTCTCTGCCGCTGTGGGGCTGCAAGCAGTTGGGGCATCTTCAAGGGGAGGGTCATGTGGGGACTACCATCACAGGCTCTTCAAGAGTATTCACTCTTGGTTAGCAAGGTTAGTGCCAAAACCAATGCCTGTTTTATTGATCACTTGCTGTGTGCCAGCCCTGCGTGCCAGGAGGAAGTGAGAGAGCAGCGAGGGGAAGGGAGGCGAGAAAAGGTTAGAGGAGAAAGAGAGGAAATTATGGAGGCAAGGGGAGGGAGGAGGAAAGACAGGATAGAAATAGAGAGAGGGGGAGAAAGAGAAATCAAAGTGTGTTTGAGAGAGGGAACGTGAAGAGAGAATAAGGTGAGATGGGGGGTGGTGAGAATTTGGGAAACTTTCCTTCGGGCCACTTGAGCTGGTTGGAGGAGAGACCAACTTCCAAAACATGTTTGACCCTGAAAAACTGTGATCGCTACCAGAGTGCGCTTAATTAGAATATTTGCAGCATCTGTTTCCTTCTTTTGCGGGAGGAGAGAGGAATGATACATGATATCGACTCATCTGGAAACATTGTGGTCTCCAAGTCAGCAATTTCATTTCATGGAGAGCGAGATGAAAGATGAAAGGCCTTATCGGGAGTCCGAGTGGAGCTGAAGGACTGTGATCGGTGTTTCAACTTTCAGCCCAAAGGGTAGCAGTTAGCCTGTCAAACGAGCAGGCAGCTGAAATGGTTACAAGTTGCAAGAAGAGTTTCCATTTGTATCAAATAGTGTGTTAAATCAGTACTACGATAATTTAGTAACATCCCCTTTGCCTTAAGGATGTTTGAAAAAAATAAAAGCTATTTAAAGCGAGTTAGGAGAAGTGCAATAAAATTACAAACACAAGAAAGGGAAAAGGAAACAGCTGGTGATAGTGTTAACCACAGAGAGAGAGGTCGTTTCTGGAGATCCACAAGGTAGTAGGAAGGCCATCTGCCCAGGTGGGATCACACACATTTTCTCTCTCTCTCTCTCTCTCTCTCTCTCTCTCTCTCTCTCTCTCTCTCTCTCTCTCGTTCTCATCCTCTCTCTCTCTCTCTCTCTCTCTCTCTCTCTCTCTCTCTCTCTCTCTCGTTCTCATCCTCTCTCATCCTCTCTCTCTCTCTCTCTCTCTCTCTCTCTCTCTCTCTCTCGATCTCTCTCTCGTTTCTCTTTCACTCACATCCCTCCCATCTCCCCACCCATACACAATATCCATTACTATTATGAGAGATTGCTCAAGAATTGCCTTGGGGACGAATTAAGCACCTTTTATGAGTGGAAGTAAAATCTTAAGATTGGGTTTTACTGGGGGCCCACTTTTTCGTTTTATTACATGCTGAATTCTTCCATAAAGATCAGTGTTGATTGCCTTTCTCTTGCCTGCTCCTTTGCCCTTCTTCCCCCTGATTCCAGTGAAGATGATGACACAACCTGTTATCTCAGGAAAATGACTTAAAACCGAGTTACAGTTTTTCTTATCTGTAGAATGGGGAATTCGTATTTACCTTGTAGGTTTATTGCCATGTTTACATGAAATGTCATTTTAAAAAGCATTTAACACAATGCTTAGCACATAGTAGACCCTGGGGAAATGTTTTTTTTTTTCTTCTCATATAAACTTTTTGTGCACTTTTTTGTTGTTGTTGTTGAAATGGCTGTGAGTAGCAGCCTCAAAATTAAAAGTGCATTTTTCTTTTGCTTTATGCTAGCCGATTTATTCATGCAACTTGGGAGTTGGTAAAGAACCATTCTGTAATCCCAATGAGAACTTTGAATCCTGTCTCCAGGGAGGTTTCTTACAGGTCAGCTGTGCCTATGAGTTTACTTATGAACTGAAATTCATAAGCTCTTTCTTTTTCAGATGAATATGCTTGTCGCTTCCCACTGACTGGCAGCAATGGCATTCACTAAAAGGGTCAGCAGCAGCAGCAACAGGTAACCCTGAAATCTATGATTCAAAGATAAGAGGATATTTAATTGTATAACCTATTTTTGAAAGGATAAGTTGGCTCTTTTTCATTTTTTGCAATTTATGAACTCTGGTGCATGAAAATGTGTGAAAAATTTCGTTGTCTCTACACAAAGCCAAACCAGTTATACTTTCTTTAAATCTAGTCCTTTTCGAGTCTCAACTCATCTCTTTAACATGCGGATGTCACTTTAGATCAGCATCTTAATTCAGTGTTCAAGACACTGGTCCGGCTGAAACCGGTTTGGCTCAATGGATAGAGCTTCGGCTTGGGGACTGATGGGTCCTGGGTTCGGATCCGGTCGGGGGCATGTGCCTTGGATGCGGGCATATCCCCGGTGGGAGGTGTGCAAGAGGCGGCTGATCGATGACCCTCTCTCATTGATGTTTCTGGCTCTCTGTCTCTCTCCCTTCCTTTCTGTACAAAATCAATAAAATATATTAAAAAAAAAAAAAAAAAGACACTGGTCTGTGTTGCACTGATTTGGTAAAATGTGCACATACTGGTATTTAGCCTGTGCTGGAACAAACATCGTGGTGAAACTCACCTTGTCACGAGAGCCTTGAAGGAGGAAATTCTATCATTATTACCTTTTCTGACTTTTACGTTTGTTCCTCCAACTCTGCACATACAGTTAACTGTCATCTTGCATCTGTTACATGGCCATTGTCAGTTGAGGGTTGCATGTACACTTTCTGAAGCCCTGGCCCATGTTGAATGGTTAGAGCCTAGGTCAGTGCAATGAAGGGTCTGGGGTTCAATTCCTCATCAAGGACATATCTGGGTTTCAGGAATGATGCCAGCTTGGTCAACCAATCCATCTATCTCCTCACAACAAGGTCTCTCACTTTCTCCCTCTGTCTTTCTTCCTTCTCCCCTCCCTCTTTTCCTCTCTTCCCCATTCTTCCACCCCCCCTCCCCCATTCCCTCTCTCTCCTTTATTCTCTCTGAAATCAACTGGATATCCTCAGGTAAATATTAACAACAAAAAAGAATAACTGCCCTGCCGGTTAGTTGAGTGTCGATCGACCTATGATCCAGGTCACGGTTCAATTCCCATGCCTGGCTTGTGGGCTCCATTCCCAGTAGGGGGCATGCAGGAGGCAGCCAATCATGATCTCTGTCATCATTGATGTTGCTCTCTCTCTCTTTCTCTCTTTCTCTCCCTTCCTCCCCCTTCCCTCCTCCCCTTCCTCCCTCTCCCTTCTTCTCTGAAATCAATAAAAATATATATATATATATTAAAAAAGAATAACTTATTGATAGCCAGAAAGAATTCTTAATATCATTGATCAGTGTGTTTTTTTAAATTCTAGTAGATATTCAAAAACATATTAAAGTATGAGACATGTAAACTCAAACTTAATTCATATTTATTGATTAATAGATGATGATGCCTGTCTATCCTGGATCCTTTCCCTCTTCCTTCCCCTTTCTGTTCATTTAAGAAACTCTCTGTCCCAGGTGGTTCTGGCACTGTGGTTAAGCAGGGCACACTCTCCTCCCCCACAGAGGAGGCATGTGACCAGGCTGCAGCACTCCCGCGCTGCGAGAGCCTGGGGCAGACTGTTGGCCTCCGTCTTAGGCTTGTTCATAACGTTCAGTTACACATGAGTTTTACATTTCTATGTAGTTAAACGGCTTGTTCTTTGTGCATTCTGGTTTTGATTGTGCTTAGGTCTTTCTTACTCCAAAACTATGAAAGTAATGTCATGTGTTCTCTGCAGAGCTTGAATGGTTTCATTTTTTGCACTTAAATCAGGATTTGTAAGCTGGTGGCCGATGGGCTAGATCTGGCCAACAGATGGGCAGTGTTCAGCCCCTCACAGTTTTCTAAAAAGGTGTAGCTGCCCGTGTTTTTTACATAGCAATCTAGACTTTTAGCTTCTCTTAAAAAAACAATGTTTAACAACATTGTCATGTTTTGCCCTAAAGAAACAGACTTGTAGACAGGGCCTGAGCGTGCTGATTCAGAACTTCCCGAGTGGTATGTCATCAGTGCTTCCCAGGTGTGCTAAGATGTGACTCCTCTCAGCCTGCAGGTCAACCAGAACTCCCACCTGATGTCCTCCTGCAGCCATCTGCTGTGTTGGCTTGCCCAGCGAGATTTGGTTATTAATTAAAAAAAGAAAAAGAAAAAAAAGTTGGGAAAGCACAGATGTTTTCTAGTTCTCTACAATTCCCACACAGTTGGTTTCGCACATTTAGTTAGCTGCTCAGCCCTCCTACATTGCCTTTGACTTTATAGTATTCTGATCCCATTTGTAATAAATTTTAGTGTAAAGTATGTGTTGTAAATTTCCATATTAATAAGAAAATGGAAAAGTCCAGGGGATGTTAAGGAGGTTTTTTGTTGTTTTGTTTTGTTTTGTTTTGTTTTGTAAAAGCAAAAGTCTAACCAGCCGTTTTAACATAATTTATTAAATCATCTATCTTTTGTCCACTGATTTAAGTGCTGTGTCTACATCCCATCACATCCTGGAGTCCATTATACTATTGTTCCCATTGATTGTTTCTTCTGGCTCCAGTGTCATCCTATTTTGTTGTGTTTTTATAGATCCTAATATTCAGGCAGATTCTTTGGCATCACTTTTCATTTTTAAGATTTTTTCATAGCCATTCGGTTCACAACTGATTACATTTTTACATGTGCTCTGAAGTCCTTTGTTATTTTTGAGAAAAATTATTGTTGGCATTTTGATTACAGTCTTTTTGACTTCATCAATTAGGGAGTGTTGAATTCTTTATATCAGATTAGTGAAAAATTAAAGTGGATGAAGAGATTTTAAATTTTAACTGTAAGATTTTTGTAGAGATCTGATTTTTTCAGAAATTTCTAGTCATTGACATTGCATCCAGGATAATTTCTGGTGTCAGTGTCAAGATTAAAAAGGTATTTTGCTTCCTATTGTTGCTAATTAAAGCAGGATGGGTGACTGTCCTTTGTAGTAACATTCTAGCAGTTACAGAATTATTTATTATTATTATTATTATTATTATTATTATTATTATTATTTGTTACAGTATCTTTCCTGTTCCTCCTCTCCTTGAAGTGGTGCTTTTAATTTTAATACCGAGGACATGTGATAAGCAAGGGGACTCCTAAACGGAGCTCTGTTTTTAATATATACAAACAGCTCACTTGTTTGAATGCTGCGTCATGGCAGGCTTTAATCTTTTAGTAGCCCAGACGAAAACATCAGATTTATGTGGCACTGGTCCAGGACTGGCACATATTTTAAAGGAAACAGATGTGTATGGAGTGTGCAGCTCTGATCACTCAAACTACATAGGAATCGGAGTGCGAACCCTTGCCATGCTCAGGGCTATCAGAAGTCCTCAGTGTGGACAGACCATGAACATAATGTGTAATGACAGTATTTGGTTTGGTGCTTATAAATAATTAAGGCTTCTGCTGTGATTTCCAGATTTATCAGCATTAGACACCATCGAACCTGAGTCACTTCTATTTCCCACACCTTCTTTCCCTCCCCCCCGCCTTTTTTTTGTTCTTTCTAAAAGTTGTTTTTGGGAGTATGACAAACTGAAAAGGACAGACATTACTCTACAGTTAATGCATTTGTTCAAAGTGAACACGCTTGTGTAACCAACCAGTGAAGGGACACTTCAGAATCCCCGCCTGAACCTTTCAGCTGTTACCTCCCACACTATACTGTTCTGACTTGTAATACCAGGCATTTGTTTAGAATCTGATTTAAATTCTAGAGGCCTGATGCACAAAATTCATGCAAGGAGCTCTTGGCTGCCTCTGCCTCCTCTTCCTCCCTCACCACCATAGCTTTGTCCAGAAAACCGTCCGGTCTAATTAATTAGCTCATTACACATTTATTATTATAGATACTCATAAAGTATACTCTTTTAGTTTTTCTATTTAGTTTTGATGTTTTTTCCCTATTTCATAAATTTAAATATTTTTAACATTTAAAAATCTTTATAATAATAATGTACTCTACATTTAATAAGCTGTATTAGTTATATGTTATATAATCACTATTAAATATTTTTTTATTTTTCTATAGTATAACATAATAATGTAATTATTCTTACTCTTTCTTTCACTTTTCTCTCTTCTGCCTTTCAACTATTGGCTCTGCTTTTAGTTTAAAATTGTTCAGGTTGAGAGCACATTTTATTTTACAGTTACCTGTGCCTTTGCAAGCTTTATCTTGAAATTGCCAATAAAAGCTTAAAAACCAACCAGCATTATTTACATTGTTTTGAACAGGAGGCAAAATAATCTTTAGAGCTTCTTTTCTCCTCTGTGAGTTCAAAGTCAACCCAAGTACCACTTGAAAAAGAAGATTCATATTGATCAGGACAAATGAACTCTTATCTTTTCCTGAGTAAATGGTTCAAATTCATACCACATTTTAAATTTACCTTTGAATGGTGCTTTTCTTTTTCCTGAAGTGGTTGTTGTTGTTGTCAAATGATCTTTAAGTATTTTCCTTTGTAGTTCCTAACTAGGTGGGTATTTCACTGCACCACTGCTGATGCCATGAGGGTGGTGGCCATCAGCATTGCAGCTCACAGACTGGGCAGTCCCCTGTCTGCTCTGAATAGTCATTGTCATTGTAATCCTCAGACCCTCTCAATCTCCCGTTGCTTGGGCAATGTCATCATCAACCTTCTTTGGAGACAGACCCGGGAGACGGATCTTGGAGGTGAGGGCAGCTGTGGCACTGACTTCCCACCGGTGCTCCTTGTGTATACAAGTTGGGTTCAAACTTCGGTGGCACGGTGGCAGTGGCTGGTGTCAGATGAACCCGGATGCGGGACAGTTGAAGAAAGCTGCACCTAGACCTTCTTTGATCCAAACACAAAAATATTTACTGGAGTTTTTCATGACTTTTTCTTTGTTGAAAGTGGAAAGAAGAACCTGCCTTCTTTTCACTAACTCATTCTCCTCTGACCCTTCAGTACCTATTGCTTGAAATTTCCCAC